TATAATACAGGAAAATAAAATGTGAGCATTTCATTAACCTCAGAAGTCAAACTGTGCACACCACTTACAAAGCAGACCCACTTTAAGAAGGTTCAATAACACAGCAATGACTTTAATAGACAACACCGCCAATTCGAAACAATTATGTGTTTACACTGAATTTAAAAGCCAGTTTAAAAATGATGAGACCTCAGTTTGGGGAGGGAGACCCCAGACAAAATCTCCAGGTACTGAAGTGCTCTGGAGAGCGTGTCATTGGACTATTCACTCTACTCCTTGTAGGAGGGATGTTATGTCTGATCTTTAATTATGCTTTATGTAAATATCCCCAGAGGCTTATGCAATAGGTACAGGCTTAAGTAAGGCGAGTTGGTGGAGGCAGCTCTGGAGAGGGAAGGAGAGCTGAGCTCACTCCATAGCCAAGGGCTGGGTGAGCTCCAGCTGTCATTGAAGGCCTCCCAGCCCCTGAATTACAGAATACAAGAGATTTGCTACATTTATACACTCCCTGCCAAAAGCCACTTACTGAACCAAGCTCCCAGATCCCCTGGATCTGTGGGCACAGCTGGCCTCTCCTGCTTGATTTACAACAGCTCAGCAAAGGCACCATCCCTGAGCATTAACAAGGCCACATTTATCACCTGCTTCACCCTTTGCTGCCATGAGGGTTTTTGGTGAGGACCTGGGTGTTCTGTGGCCAACAAAAACCCCACGGACACACCCTGTTCATCACTGACCTCCCAGCACACCTTCACCTTGACCTACAGCCCTCACAGTCAGGGGGGAGGAGGCTCTTTAAGGCTCGTGCCTTTGGCACCACTGGAAGTGCCAGCAAAATTCACAAGGAGTGGTAATAATAACACTTGAAGTCACACCAAAAATCTCACTCTGAGCAAGTTGTGTTCAAGGCTGTGAACAGGGCTGTGTTCAAACCCTGATCATGCTCAGAAGGCAACTAAAGCAATTATTTGCACTGAGGTCAAAACCACCTCATCTCTCTGGTGGTGGAAGCTTCTCTGAGTGCCCAGGAGATCCACAGCTCCCTGTTTTACCCAGGAACAGCACAGCCCTCCTGGCCTCTTCCCTCCATGCCCAAAGGCGAGCTTTGGCTTGCAATTGTTTCTATTTGCATGAGATAATTTTAACTGGCAATTCTAGAAAATATTCTGCACAGCTGCATTTAAATTTCACCTCGTGGACCTGATACAACTGATTTGTACAGGACCCACTTCAGCCCCTGGTATCCCAACCTGGGCACTACCATAGGAAAAAACTGAGCTAGAGCAAAAAGCTCTGATTTTCTCCCAGTTCTGTGAGGCAGGATAAATGTGGCACACCCTCTTCACCTGTAAAATGGGGACAGCACTCTCCACTTGTAAAGCACCTGGAGATCTGATCTCAGAAATGCAATGTATTTTCAAAAAGGTTAGGCTAAAATACACTGCTCTTTTCACTCTCTAGATAAATGCTTCGTTACACTCTTTGTCCCGCGCTTCCCCGATGATTTTCTTTTCTTCCCCAATTTGCCATTTTGACTAATTCAATTATTTTAGCATATTAAACTCAGACTAATAGAAGAATACAAACCCTAATTACCACCCCACAGGCATGCAGCAGAGCCTACAGAATATTGTACCATTATTTTTATGACTTCAAAAGTAGAGAGAAGAGTACAGATCAAGGCAGCATGGCAAATACTCACTTTTTTTTTATATAATTCTCCCTTCTAGTTCTCACTAATTCCACCCACTGGTAATAGCTGAAGGCATACACCCAAATCAGTGACTCATGGCACAAGACCACAGTCCAAACAGTCACTGACTGGGTTCTCAAAGCAGCGCTGTTCAAGAATTGCAATGTTCCATCCCTGGACCTGAACTGCCTTTGCTTTGCCCCAAAAAACCAATAAATACCCCCCTCCCCCCCCAAAAAAAAAACCTAACCAAAAACCACCCAAAAGAAAAAACACCAACAAAACCAAAAAAACACCACTGACAACAGGTGCTTCTTTAGTTCTCGGGAAAAAAAAATGGAAAAAAAGAAATTTCCCCCTTGGTGCTCCCAGACATTCCCTGTAGCCCAGCACAGCAGCACAGATGTGAGGCACATTCTTCCCACTCCTGCTTCTTCCCCAGGTAACTCCCCACAACCAGAAACACAAGACAGAACTCTCCAGGCAATTACAGCTTTGAGATTAGCCCACCTCCTCTCCATGTGTTCTGGAAACCTCCAAGGGTTTTAATTCCAACTTTGCTTTTTCTAGTCTATATTTTAAGTAAGAAAAGTTTTCCCAGGTTTTTCAAAGGAGTCATTTAACAGCTGTTTGGGAACCTTTATTTTTTTTTTTTTTACCTCAATGCCAACCTCCCAGACACATTATTTATAATAGGCTGTCTTTCTTAATACTTGCTATTAGTCAAAAGAGTGCTTAGTAAACACCTTAGCTGTCCAATCTTCACATCCTTTAAATAATGGGGTGGGTTCAGAAGGGATAAGCTCTCAAAGCAGGACTCTTCTCACCTTGTAAAGAGCCACAAACACCCTGATACAGCACAATTCCCATCCTCTTCCAGGTTCTATAGCTACTGATTTGTATCTTCAAAGATGCATTAAAATGTGACATGAAAGACCTCCCAGAGAGCACAAGAGAGCATCAGTTATTTGAGTCCTATTCTACCTACAGTAGGCTTTCCAGCTCTCCAAAGCAGGTATGTGCTGGAACACCTAATCCCATGTGGGACTGAACATGTATGTTCAGGACACCCATTACACAAGGAACATTCACATGCCAGGGCTCATCTGCCTGATCACTGGATTTTTAGTTGAGTTAAATGCCCTGCTGTTAACACCATTTCTAATGTAGGTTAGGTGGTCAGGAGCAAAATGCAAATGTGGGTCTGTGTCAGTTTAATCACTTTTTTTTATTCTGATAAGACCTGTCAGTTCAGGTTTCAAGGAAGGCTGGACAAAAGAGGACCATCAACAGAAGGCAAAAAATGTAGCCACGGGAAGGTGAGTGCGGGCTCACCTCTTCAGAAGGAATGTGTGAACTACCTGGACCCCAAATTGAAAAGGGTGTCACCTTGGCCAATTCCTTCCTCCTGCAGAAGCCCAAAACACAGGCACTGCAACAAGCCTGGGAGTGTCAGCCGCTTTCTCCTGCTTTGCACTAAAACTACAGAAAGGGCTGTGATGCTTCTGTGACCTCTTGTAAAAGAGACAACAAGCATTCACCTTTGGGTGAAGGAGGAGCGGGCAGCAGTGACAGATAAAAGCCTTCCTTTACCTTCTCTCCCTGGGCTACACAAAGCAGTATTAGATTCAATTTTACAGGTCCAACAATGCTCCGTGTGGGTCGGGATAAGGCCCCGGTCCTTCCCTCCCCCACAGCCTCCCCTGAAACTCCGCGCAGGTTTGCAAGATCAAAGGCAGGCACCTCCATTACCCTCTCTTCCATTTTGTTGGGCAAGAGATACTGCTATTGCACAAAAAAGCGTGTGTGTGCACAGATATATATATATATATATATTTATATATATATAATGCAGAGAGGAATTTTATCAGCGCCTGGGCACCACCAGCCCGGGGCAGCAACAGGGGGTAGGTAGGCGGGGGGGCGGCTCCACTTTGTTCTCCTCCGGGTGCAGGATCTCTCGCCGTCCCCCCTTCCAAACCCGCCTCCAGCTGGGAGCCGCTCCCGGGCACATCCCGGAGGCAGCGGGGCCGGGCCACCCCCGGGGGGGCGCGACCCCCGCGCCCGCCGCCCCCTCCCCGCGCCCGCCGCGCGGGACCCGCCCATGGCCGCGGCAGCCCCGGCACCGGCGGGTGCGCGGCGGGCGGGCCCCGGGGAGCCCGGCCCGGCCTGTCAGGAAGCGGCGGAGCGGAGGGGAGGGAGTGAGGGCGGGCCGGGATCGCTCACCTCGGACACCTCGTCCTCGTCGCTGCCGGAGCCGCCGCCGCCGCCCCCGCCGCCGCTCCGCAGCACGGCGGCCGCCAGCTTGAAGTCGAGGGCGGCCTCTCCGGCCGCGGGCGCGCCGGGGCCCCCCGGCCCGCCGGGCCCGGCCTCGCCGAAGAGGCGCACGGCCCGCAGGCCCAGCGGGGAGGGCCCGGCCGCGGCGGGCGGCTCGGCGGCGGCGGCGGCGGGCGGCGCGCGGGGCGCGACCGAGTCGATCTCCTCGTCGGCGGCGGCGGCGGTGCCGTCCGTGAGCATCGCGCTGGTCCGGGCCCGGCCGTCTCCCGTTCCCCCCTCACGGCACCGCGGCAGCGCCACTAACTTCTCACACCCTACCCCGGCCGCGGCCGCCGCGCCCGCCCACCCCGCCCGCTCCGCGCGCGCCCATTGGGCGCGCCGGGAAGGCCGCGCCGCGCTATTGGTCCCGGGGCGCGTCAGTCAGAGCCGCGTCACGCGCTCCCAGCATGCTGCCCTGAGAGCGCACGCCCAGGCGGTCAGAGCGTGCCGACCCGCCCCGCTTCCTGAACTCTCCGCGAGCTGATTGGTTTATGGGGACGTCAATCAGGGGCTTCGCCGGGGCTGAGAGCGCTGATAGGGTGAGCGCACTGTCGATCAAATCGCATCCGGGAGCCGCGCGTTTCGGTTGGTCCGGAGGGGTGTCGCTCACGGCGCGCGGCGTCTGGCGCCTTCCGATTGGGTGTTGCCGCGCCCTAGTACCGCCCTCCCTTCAAACCCTTCTGAGGGGCTCCGTCACGCGAGGCGCCGTCACACGCCCGCCTGCCCCGTGAGCTGATTGGGCCGTGGGGCTGCCAATCGAGGCGAACGGCCCGCCCCCTCCGCTCGCCCCGTCCCCTGCCGGACGCGGGGCGCCATTGGCTGAGCGCGCTGTCACTCCGCGCCCTGCGGACACGCCCCCGTGACGTCACCGCGCGGCCACGTGTCCCGCGGTGCGGGGGGGCCGGGGGGATTTGGGGGGTTTTGGGGGGATTTTGGGGGTCCTGGGCCCCGCGACCTCCCGCCCGGGGCGATGTCCCCGCCCTGCCCAGCGCTAGTTCACGGAGAGGTTGATCTGCGGTCCCGGGTGGTTCATCGGCTCGAGCTGCGGGGGGAGAGCAGGGCGTTCGGGGTCGCACCGCGCCCACCCCCGGGCGCCCCCCCCGCCAGCCCCGCCACCGGCTCGGCCCTTCGGGGCTCCCGGGGCACCACCGACCTCCTGGGCGCCGCCGCCCCGCTCCGGCCGCTCCCGGCGCTCCGTCCCCGCCGCCCCCGGCCCGGGCGGGGGCCCGTCCAGCCAGGCCAGGTCGTGCGGGGGGAAGACGCGCTCCAGCCCCCTCCGGATCCCCACCAGCGCCAGCAGCTGCGGCCGGGGACAGGCACGGCTCAGCACCGCCGGGGCCGGGGGACAGGGCGGCGTGGCCCTGTCACACCCCGCTGTCACCCCGGCAGAGCCCAGGGAGGCGGCCTGTCACCCCTCCGGGGGACCGCACCTGCCCGGCAGGGACAACCCCGCGGCTCTACCCCGAGAGGTGAAGGATGGTGGCAAAGCCACGCTGTGACCCCGCCAGGTGCCCCCACCCAGCGCAGCACCCAGAGGAGCATCCCGGGGACCCCACTGGGGTGGGCAGCACCCGTGTCCCCTCCCCACAGGAGCATCCCAGGGACCCCACTGGGCTGGGCAGCACCCGTGTCCCCTTCCCAAAGGAGCATCCCAGGGACCCCACTGGTCTGGGCAGCACCGCTGTTTCTTCCCAAAGGAATATCCCAGGGACCCCACTGGGGTGGGCAGCACACGTGTCCCCTCCCAAAGGAACGCCACACTGGGGTGGGCAGCACTCAGCCCAACCCCAAGGCAGCGCTGCCGGTTCAAGGCGTGTCGTACCATCACCGGGAAAATAATCGCGGCCGTGGTGGACTTGAGGACCCAGAGCAGGGCCAGGCAGAGCAGCTGGATGACGGTGAAGAGGTGCACCCGGCGCAGGGGGACGTGGCGGAGGTAGGGGAGGTCTGGCTGGTGCTTGGCCGGGATCAGGAGCAGCCGCACACGGTCCAGGAGCTGCAGCGAGAGGGCGGCGGGTGGGTCACACACCTCCACCTCCCTGCTGGGCCCCGGGGCCGGCAGGATGGGGTTTTGCCCTTGTGTCTGCGTTTGAGCCCTCCTGCCATCTGTGCCGATGCTGGGACAGGGCGTTTGTCTGCAAGACCGGTGGTCCCGGTACCACCCCCCCCATCCCAGGCCAGGGGGAGCACTTTCCAGGCAGACCTCTACAAAAGGACTCAAGGTGGCCTTAATGGGCCTCTACAAAAGGACTCAAGGTGGCCTTAATGGGTTAATTGTGAGATAACAGCCCTTGATGGAACTCCCTACGTGCAGGAAACTGCTGCAGCCTCCGGAGAACAGCTCTGGGTTTCCCAGGCAGAGGGAGGGAGGGATTTTCCCAGCCTGTTCTACAAAGCAGGATAATTGCAAGGAAGACGTACTGTTTAGAGGGAAAAGTGGTGTAGATAATTCTGGAGTGGGGACTTTATTTTTCCTCTCCATGGATTTCTCAGGAGAAGAACAGAGCTGGCTCAGCAGCAGCAATGCCAAGGCCAAAGGACCAGCAGGTCCCCAGCTCCCAAGTGGGGAAGTCCCTGTGGCTTTGAGAGCAAGTCTGGATTATCCACTGGTCCTTCCGCTTCTCCCAAACCACCTGACCCATCAGTGCACAAGTTAATCCAGCTCCTCAGCATCCCAGACACCTCCCTTTCCCTTCCCTCTGCCCCAGAAAGGTCCTTTTCCCCCTCCTTGTCCTGGGCCTGGCAGGGGACACAGCCCCGTGCCAGGTTGCACGTCTTGCAGAGCTAAAATCTGGGCTCTGCTGTGGGAGCTGGTGCTGAGCAAACCCCCTGATCCCCAAAGCAGCCCCCACCAGCAGCCCCAGTGCAGCCCCCCCTCACCTGGATGCTGTTCAGGGCCGCCACCCCCATGTGCAGGAACACCCCGTACAGCACCGGCATCGGGATGTGCTGCAAGACAGCGGGATGGGGGGTCAGTGGGGCTGTTCCCGGGGGGGCTGTGCCTGCCAAGTGTCCTGTCCCGTGTAAAAGCCCCCATGCATGTCCACAGCCTTTGCCTCCTTCATTCCCAGCAGCCCAGCCTGCCCTTGTTGGACCACGTGAAGTTCACGTGGGCCCATGTCCTCCACAGTCCCTTTGGATGCCATCCCATCCCTCAGGTGTGTCACTGCACCTCTCAGCTTGGTGCCACCTGCAAACAAGCTCCATCCTGCTGTCTGTGTCCTGGATGAAGATGTTAAATTGTGTTGGTCCCAGTAGGGACCCTTGGGAGACACCACTTATTAGTGGTTTCCATTTGGATGTTGGGACATTGACTGTAGGTCTCTGGACATGGCCATCCAGCCAATTCCTCATCCATCCTTCAGTTCCATGTATCTCCAGTTTGGAGATGGGAATGTTGGGGGGCCCATATCAAAGGCTGTGCAAGAGCAGCCTCAGGGGTGAGGAGAGAGGTCAAGGAAAAGGCACCTCCCACCTGCCCCCAGGTAATCCAGGGCCACTGGAGGGGCTTTTCCTACTGCAGTAGCAGTAGCAGGTGAAACCCAACAGCAGCCAGGCTGGGACCTCCATGTGACAGTGTGGAGGGTATGGTGGGGTGTGTTTGGGGAGCACAGGGGACCCTGATGCACGCAAGGACAGTGGCCAGCTGACACATGGTCACAGTGCCTGGTGTGCTCACCCTCCTGTGGCACAGGAGCCAAATCCTTTGCCTGGCCCAAATCCTTTGCACAGCTCCCTGCCTGCCAGCCAGGCTTCCCTGGATCGATGGAACAAGGAACTCCCCAGCCTTGCAGGATATGGCCACCCCCTGCCTAGGAAAAGAGGCCTACCCAACATCCAGGCTCCCTACCTTGAGCACGGGGGCCATGAAGACGGAGACTCCCATCAGGACGAAGACGGCCAGGCCTGTCAGCCTCTGCTCCCTGTGTGTGGCAGTGCAAGTGTCACAGGGGGCCCTTGGGAGCCCACCCCCTTGCCTGCCCTCCTGGCTCTGGGGTCTCTGCTCTTTTCAGCTTGGACGGGCACAGGGAATGGGAGCATCCCTGGGGAGACACCGGTGTCCCCAAAGCCGGCTCTGATGGCCAGGGTGGGCATGTCCCTGTCCCCTGGCTCTGCAGCCACGGGCAAGGGGTCCCCCCGAGCGGGGCCCAGGCTCGTGTACCTGATGCCCAGGAACTCGGGGTGCTCGCCAGGGGCTGAGGTTTCACTCTCCTTCCTCAGGCTCTCCATGTGCGCCAGGGAGATGACGGTGGCTGAGACGTACCAGGGGAGGCCGGTGACAGAGGTGACAACCATCAGCAGGGAGACACAGAGGAGGTCCAGATGGAAGCCTGCTCCTTTCTGCAGGGGGAGAGGCAGCAGGGCTGGGGGTGAGCCGTCTCCCCAGCAGCATCAGAGGGGCAGTGCTGGGGTCTGCCCACCCTACTGGCTGTTTTGGGGTCCCACTCTGCCCCAGCTGCTTCCATGGGACCCAGCTGGGACCTGGGTCCTTTCCCTGTCCCCTGCTCACCTGCAGCTTGTACTCCCTGCGGTTCAGGATGACGGCTGTGATCTGCTGGTCCATGAAAATGAGGATGGTGACGAGGACGGCAGGCACTGCAGACACCAGGCACACCCACCACGGGTTGGCTCCAAAGGGGACGATGATCCAGCCCCGCGCTGGGTTTGTGGGCTGTGGGGAGCAGAAGGGTCATGGCAGCTGCCACCCACCTCTGTGTGGCACAGCGGGGCGACAGGACCAGCCCCAGGTGCCCAGGCTGGAGCCTGACAGGCACCCAGGGATGTGGAGAGGAAGAGCATCCTCCTTTATCCTGGGGATGCTCCTGGGCACTGTGACCTACCACGTTCCCTACAAGGACATCCTGGCTGTAGCAGAGCAGGGGGTTGCTCTTGGACACCACAAGCCAGGAGCTGGGCATGTGCCTGCAGGAGCAGGTGGAAGAGGTAGCACTGGGCAGCGATGATGGTGAGCCCAGGGAGGTGGCAGCGAGCATGGGCTGCTCTGAGCCACTGCCAACCCTGCCACACACCCAGGGCAGGGAGCCCAAGCCCAGAGGTGAGCCTGTGGCTCTCGCTCCAGTGTGAGCTGTACAGGGATGGGGTCAGTCTGGGCCTGAGCCAGGTTATTTACAGAGCATGGGATGTGTTCAACCCCTTCTCATTTGCTCATAGAGCCCACACCCCTGTAGGGCTGGAGCTGGCAGTGGGAAGGACAGTGACAGCACTGCCACTGTGGGGGGCACAGCCCCACGCCCTGACAGTGCCGTGCCCACCCTGCCAGCACCTTCAGCTCGCTGGGAACAAGGAGCTTGGGGGTCTCCAGGCCCAGGGCAGCATCGACGGTGCAGGAGGCGAGGATGGCCAGGATGATGGCGAAGTCGCTCACCAGCTTCCGCACCTGCACGTGGAGATGGAAAGGGTTCCTGGGGTGCCTGGGGTGGGGGCTGCTCCAGCAGCTTCCCCTGGAGCCATCCCCACACCGATGGGATGGGTGGCCATTCCACAGGGGTGGCAGAAGGATGCTCACGCCAGCAGGGAAGTAGCGGCTGCTCCTGAAGCGCTTGAGGGCGGCGCAGGAGAGGAAGGTGCCCCCAAAGAGCAGGAAGGAGATGAGGGTGACATCGGGCACGTACTGACAGCTGGTGCCCAGGAGGTGCCCACCTCGGTCCAGGCACTGGGTCCTGCTCAGCCCCTCTGGGGTGGCGGGAGGCTGCAGGGACAGGACAGGAGGTGAGGAGGGGTCGTGCGTGGACGCTTTGGGCCCACTCCAGCCCCTCGCCCACCTGCCTGGGAGCAGGGCTGTACCTGTGGGGGGAGCAGGGGCGAGGGCAGCAGTGTGTCATTCCCTGCAGAGCTGTGACCTGCAAGGGGAAGGAGGGTCAGGGTGTTGCTGGGTCCATCAGGGATAACTGGGACAGTGCTGCCATCGGTGTGGGTCCTCAGACTCTCCCCAAGGGCTCGGGATGCTGGATGGGGCCCCATGGGATCTTGAAGGTCCTGGGCCTGGCTGGTGCCAAGGGAGCACCAAGGGAGGATGCACCATTGTCCCCAGGCTGGCCAAGCACTGATCCGTTTGGTGTGGGCACTGTTTCCAGGGTCACTGTGGACACATCTTCAAGCCCCAGGAAACATTCTCTGGTTTACAGACTGGGCTAGAAATGGCAGAGCAAACCCCTCCAGCCCCTGCTATCCCCCATCCTGGAGCCACAGGAGCCAGGCCAAGGCTCTCTGTCTGGTGCCAGGGCAGCTCCAGGAGGCAAGGATGGATGGACAGACCACATGGAGGGAAGTGGAGGAAGGTGCAATGTGGTCGGGCAGATGAGGATGGGATTAAACAGCCTCCTCCAGCATCTGGCCAGGCAGCAGGTTTCCAGTGGGGTCCTGAGGCAGCAGCCTCCTGCTCCCCACCCACCTGCAGCCCTTGGGCTCACCGGGGCTGGACAAGTTGCAGGTGCAGCTGTAGGAGGTGACGTTGTCCAGCCGGTACTGCCAGTTGATGGGGAAGGCGTCTGCCAGGCTCAGCATCTTCTTCAGGGAGTCGTAGATGAATATCAGGCTGATGAGTGCACAGAAGCCTTCCTCGGTGAAGCGGGTGAAGTGCCTCACCAGGTGACTGGCCTCAGTGGCCACCAGCACCACGCCGAAAAAGGCCACCCAGAGCCCAATCCAGAGGCGGAACTCCAGGTAGTCCAGGCTGTGGTCCCTTGGGGGAAGAGTGACCCAAAACCTCACAACCGACACCCGCCTGCAGTGATGGTGGCCCGTGCCCCATCCAGGGGACAGTGGCCTGAGGATCCATCCCTGCCAGGGAACTCACTGGCTGAAGGAGAAGAGGAGGCGCTCGAAGACCAGCACGGGGCCGGTGCTGCTCAGGATGGTCAGGGGTTGGCCCGAAAAGAGGCAGAAGATGAAGCCAGCAAAGGCCGTGCCCAGGAAGCTCTCCAGCACCCCCTGAAATGCAGGGAAGGGGTGCCAGGCACACGGCAGGGAGGGGGGTCCTGGGCCTGTCCCTCCCAGCAGCACAGTGCAGGGTCAGTGCTGGGGGAAGGAGGAGGATTGGGGTGATGCTCAGGATGCTCCAGGAGCACTGGTGGGAGGTGGGCACCAAGGAGCCCCATGGGCTGGGCTGAGCACTCCGGGTGGGTGCCGGGCACCCCACGGCTGTGCTGACCTGCATGTTGGCAGTGGCGTCCCCCAGCATGCCCCCGAAGGTGATGGCGTTGGTGACTGTGGCCAGGTAGATGTAGAGCACTGCCGAGAGGCACTGGGGGTGCAGGGCGTCGGAGAAGTCACTGCAGTACCACGGTGCCTTCCTGCGGATGTCTCGCAGCAGCCCCCCGAAAAGCCTGGGGCAGAGGAGAGGAGGGAGGTCTCAGAGCAGCCCCCACAGCTGGGCATCACCCCCCACACAGTCACCCAGCAAGGGATGGTCCCTTCCCTGGGAAACACCAGCTCAGAGGGGCTTGGTGGCCCCATGACAGCCAGTTCCCTGCCCCCAATCCGTCACCCATCACCTCGTCCCTCCAGGCACCCACCTGCCTGTCCTCTCCAGCTCCTCCCCAGAGCGTGGGTGCCCTGGGCTGGCTCTGTCCCCAGCTGCTGCCATGTCCCCGTTGCCATGGGGCTGCTGGTCTGGTGGGTCCACAGTGGTCCTATGGCAGAACAGAGCCTGAGACAGGCTTCAGGTTGGGACCCTCAGGGGCCAGCTGCACCTAGGGGACACTATGAGGGCAAAGGGAGGATGGAGAGGGGACAGGGGTGCCAGCAGGGTTGGGGGACCTCGTGTATCCCCTGAAAATGGGGAGGAGAAAGACCAGGAGGAGGAGGAGAGACTGGAGATTGGACTAGGTGGTCTTTAGAGGTCCCCTTTAGAGGTCCCTTCCAACCCAACCATGATCTCCTCCAGCAAGCCCTGGAGCCAGAGCTCACAGGACTAGTTTTGTTGGAGCAGCAGGGCCGAGTCCGGGATGTCCTGCTCAGAGGATGGGCTTCACATCCGAGTGCTGAATCCCAGCATTCCCAGCAGCTCCTTTTGAAGGGCATATGGGGTGGTTTTGCCACCCCCTGCCAAGTGGGACAGCAGGACTAACAGCATCAGGGACTGGAGCTGTGGTCCTTGGCTGGAGTGTCAGAGGGGCTTAGCTGGGAGGACCTCCCTGCTCCAGGGCAGCTTCATCCCCATGGGGATGGAAGTTTCAATGTCACAGGTGGGGGTGTGCCCCCCAGGACCCTGCAGAGGGGCTGGCAGAGGTTGGGGTGCCCTCCCCTCAGCCCACCTCCTGCACGGAGATGACAGAGAGCTCGGCGGAGGAATTCGGGCACTGGGGTCCCATTTCCCAGGAGGAAGCACAATCAGCTCATCCAGGAACGCCTCCATCCCTGTGACGAGGTCCTCTCGGTGCTCAGCCTGCCAGGCAACCCTTTGGAAGAGCTGTGGGGAGGTGCTGTGGTTTAGCCACCATGTCCCTGTGTTCAGCCCCTCGGAGCCTTCCTCCCAACCTGCAGCCTTCACCAAGGAACAAACCCACCCACTTCAGTGCAACCAGTGCCCCTACATCCTACAGACCCACCCCAAACCTTAGTTTTCTTATCCTAGGCAAGGGAAAGCACCAGTTCACCCCCTCCTCTGCCCTCCACTGCAGCCTGCAGAGGAGAAGAGCCCTGGTGTCACCATCCCAGGCCCATCCCAGTCATGGGTGCTGCTCCAGGCTCACCTCATCCATCAGCAGCATGGCCATGGCCCTGCCAACCTCGTGGTAGGCTTTCACTTTGGGGGGACCCAGCAGGATGAAGAGGAACCTGTGGGTGGGACAGCACAGCTCTGGAGCAGCCCTCTGCTCCCTGGGGGATGCTTCTCCCAGGGGAGACTGTGGGGATGCTGGGGACAGCAGCTGGCCAGGCTTGGAGGGCTCCTGCCACCTTAAGGAGTGACCACCCTAAGAGGGTTGCCACTGCATGGAGAGCCCACAACATGGGATGCCAGGACTCCACTGGATCACAGGGTCTGCAGAAACCGGGGCTGGGGGGCGTGGGGGGAGAGGTGTTTGGGGCAGAGGAGGAGACAGCCTTGGCTGTCTGTGGGATCAAGGTCTTGGTTGGGGGTGTCTGTGGGATCAGGGTCTTGGCTGGGGGTGTCTGTGGGATCAAGGTCTTGGCTGGGGGTGTCTGTGGGATCATGCTCCCGGGAATGTTGCTCACAGGCAGGATGCAGGAGCGTTAGGGAAGGAGAGCCTGCTGGCAGCATGGGCAGCAGGTTTGACGGGACTCGGGAGACATGGGAGGAGACTGGGAAGAGAGCTCAGGGTCCTTGATAAAATATGGTGAAAATCCCACACCTCAGAGGATGGTGCAAAATAATGAGGTCTACAGAGGGACAGTCCAGCCAAATGTTTAACCAAGCCCTCCCCTCCTTTCCAAAACTGGCAGAAACTGTTACGGTCCTGGAACCCTGAGGCTGCCGAGCGGTTCCAGGACACTACCCTGAGCAAACCTCCAGAGAGGGGGCAGGGAAACTCCTCCAGTAGCATGAGTGGGGTTGAGTGGGGCTCAGCAGAACCTGCTGCAGCCCTGATGTGGGGCTGGAGGTCCCCTGGAGCCTGCTCCAAGGGGACGGGAGGTGACAGAAGCCACCCGGGATTGCTGTCACCCGGGCATCTGCACCACATCGATGTGAAAACCTTAAAACCTTGGAGATGGACCTGAGAGGGAGACAGCCCCGAGGTGGTGGCTGTGCCTTTGGAACAGTCTGGCATGGCCACCAAAGGGGATGGTACCGTGGGCAAAGGGATGGGGAGGGACGAGTTGTCTCTCCCCTCTTGTTTGAGGGGGGGAAATTCAGGGCAAGGGGCTGTCATGAGACCCTCTATATGGGGACCTGCCACCCATCTGCCACCGAGCACAGAGCGGCAGGTGGGTGGATGTCCTGCTCCTCCCAGCTCCTGCAGGACGGGTGCTCTGGGCAGAGTGACCAGGAGGTGGCAATGTCCCTCCTGATCCCCGCCTGCCTCCTCCGCGCGCTCCCTAAGGAAGCGCCCAGCTCAAGAGACACACGGACCATTTACTCTCACAGCTGCGTTCCTCAGCCATGGGGGAAAACCTCTTTCCCTTCTTCTTTCCCCCCACCCCGTCCCACTGCTCGTGGGCAGCGGGAGGGCAAGAGACTCCTGCGAACTTGCGTCCCGCCGCCAGCCCCGCGCTCCCGGCAGTAAGTGGAGAGCATCCAGAGCCTCCTAAGGACAGGGAATGCAGACTCCAGGTGGGGATGAGCCAGGGGATGTCCCTCCCAGGCTGCCCAATACATACTCCGCTCTCAGCCCATCCCGAAATGCTCCTAAGGAGCTGGAAAAAGCCGAAAGGGAAGCAGTGAGACAGGATTCTGGGACTGTATGTGGCACTGGCTGCAATTCCCTTTGCTTTGGCCAAGCCCTGTGTGGTGTGGGAGGGAATGGGGAGACAGGGACAAAGAGGGAACAGGGGCATGGGCCGTGCTCTGTTACCTGCTGGGGAGAGCAACTTCAGCCAGTGAGCCAAGGGACACCCCGTGCCTGAGGCGAATGAAGGCAGTGACGGGCTTCTCCAGGAATTCTACTTCACCCACAGCAACGTGAGCAGCTTCAGCTCCCGGTGGGACCTTCTTCCTAAAGTGGTTTCTCAGCTGAAAGGAAAGGAATGCAGTGGCTGGGCACCTGGGATGCAGCAGCTGCTCCCAGCCCAGCTCCTTCCTGCCTTACCTGCTCCTTAAGAGGCGTTTTGGAGAGCTGGGCTCTGGGCTCAGACTTGCCTTTGGCCTTCCCTGCAAAGAAAGGTAAGAAACCATTCCTGCAGACCCACATGTGCAAGTGAACAGGCAATGTGGACACTGCCCCGGGCTGGTGGCACTGGAAGGATTCCTGGTGGGATACCTCGGCAGGGAGAGAGGGTGAGCTCGGCGAGGAGCTGCAGCAGGGATTTCGTGGGCTGGTGCCGTGGCTGGAGGAGCAGGAGGGCTGTCAAGTGTTCCCTCAATGCAGGCTGCAGCTCTGCTTCCTCAGGATGCCCAGAAAGCACCTTGTCTGCAGCAGGGACAGGGACAGCCCTGAGTCCCCCTGGTTCGCTGCCCAGTGAAAAGCCCCCTTAGCTGGAGCAGCAGCCACACCAGGTGCCCAGCTGTCATTCACCAGTGCTGTTCTACAGGCACCTCCTGGTGGCCTGTCCTTCTCCAGGGACCAGCCCATCCCAGGAGATGACTTCTGCATTACCCATGTACCGATTATTTCCTTGAAACTGGCAGCATCCAGATCCAGGAGCACCGTCCCCTTTTGCAGGCATGTCCTCAGCTGGAAGAGGCTGTGCAGGGGGAGGGCTGGGACGTGGGGTGCGCTCCAGCGTTCCCCCCCGTCCTCCACCTTCTCCTCGAACTTTATCCACCTGCCCGGGGAGATGTGCAGGGTCAGCAGCAAGGCAGTTCTGTGTCCCGTGCCAGGTAGTGGGAGCTGGACCCTGTGTCCATCTCTGAGCTTAGCATGGGGTTTGGGGGGCCCAGAGGGACTGCAGTGGGTTCGTGCAGCAGGGGCAGGTGGGCAGCCAAGGTAGTCACATCCCCATTCCTGCAGACCCACACCCCACTCCAATCTGATCAGGGGGATTTCAACAGTCATGGGATGACAGAATGGTTTGGGTTGGAAGGGACCTTGAAGCTCATCTTGTTCCAACCCCTCTACCATGGGCAGGGACACCTTCCACTATCCCAGGTTGCTCCAAGCCCCATCTGACCTGGCCTTGGACAATTCCAGGGATCCAGGGGCAGCCACAGCTTCTCTGGGCAACCTGTGCCAGGGCCTCCCCACCCTCACAGGGAAGGATTTCTTCCCAATATCCCATCTAACCCTGCCCTCTGGCAGTGGGTCCTGTCACTCCAGGCCCTTGTCAAAGGGCCTTTCCAGCTCTCTTGGAGACCCTTTAGATACTGGAAGGGGCTCTGAGGTTTCCCTGGAGTCTTCTTTTCTCCAGGCTGAACAACCCCAGCTCTCTCAGCCTGTCTCCATAGCAAAGCTGTGCCAGAAGAGCTGTCCCAGCCCTTGGATCATTTCCATGGCCTCCTCTTGAACAGGAGGTGGATGTGATGTCCCGGGGGGGTCTCACTGGAGCAGAGCAGGGGGGGGAGCATCCCCTCCTCACCCTGCTGCCCACACTGCCACGGTGCAGCCCGGGATACACTCTGCTCTCCGGGCTGTGAGCACACAGTGCCGGCTGATGTCCCATCTGTCACCCACCAGCATCCCCCAGCCCTTCTCCCCAGGGCTGCTCCCAGCCCACCCACCCTCTGGCTGCGCCGGGACCGGGGGTGGCCCTGCCATTAGCAGCGCTGGCTGGAGTCAGAACAGAAGTGTCTTGAGCTGTTTCCACGCTCAGGCAGTGCCAAATATTTTAACGCCGGGCACAGACAGAGCTTCCCTTTGTCCCCCGGGGTGGGCGCGCTGCCGCGGGGCACTCGCCGTGCTGCACGGGGAGAGCGTGCCCGGCGGGGCAGCCGTGCGGGGAGAAGGGGGCTGGGGCTGGGCAGAGCCACAGCCCGACGGATTTGGCACCCCCCGCAGACTGCGACCCCGGGGGAAGACGCATTGCTGCTCCCAGATCCCTGTAGCCTGCGTCCCTGTGCCCCTGCCCAGCAGAGGAGGGGTGCTGTGGGGTACGGGACATCCCAGCCCCGGCGCGGCTGCTGGAGCCCTGGAGAGGCAGCAGAGAGGAGCAGGAGGAAGGGCGCTGTGCCCGCGCAGGGTCACTGCCCGCCCTGCCTGACACCCTGCCCTTTCCCATGAAGTGAGTCAGCCCAGCGCGGGCACCGGAGCCCTGCTTTGGGGACGAGGCTGAGGAACCACTGGCTTTGGGGGATGCCCCGGGCTCCAGCTGAGCTGGAAGGCTGGGCTCCCATAGCGTGGCCCTCGTAGGTTTGCCTACCTGGCCATCTCCCTCCACTCCAGTCCCTCTGGGGTGCTGAGGAGCTGGTTGAGCTGGATGAAGAGCAGCGGGCAGGTGACATCCCCCCCATCCTGCCGCGGGGCAGCACCAGCTCCTCTGGCTGCTGAGGCCATCCTGGAGGGGAAGATGCTGCAGCCCAAAACCTGGGAGGGAGCTCCGAGGTTGCTCCAGTCTGGTCTGGGTTGTGAGCAGGTCCCTGCCTCCTGGAGAGCTGTGCCACCCGCCCCGGGCATGTGGGCTCGCATGGCCACTGGCACCGGCAGCCACAGGCCTGGGTTCCCTCTGGCACTCACAGGATCCCACTCATCCCACACCTTATAAAAGCTGTGAACTGGTTTAAACTGGCCACAAACCAATACACAGGAGCCAAGCCCAAAACAACCATCTCAAAACAGCAGGGTCAGCCCCACGGGACCCTTTGTGGTTGGGTCCTGCCACATCCAGCTGCCCACCTGGGCCTGGGACCAGGGGACCCACCTGCCTGCTCCAGGTGACCCACATGGACAAGGCTGTTCCTGGGGAGTAGCGTGTCCCCAGTCCCACCTGCACCCTGCAAGGCGTTGGTGAGGCGATGGCAGGGCCAATCCTGAAGAGCTGGTGGCAGCATCAGTGACTTTGCCAGGGTGCTGTGCAGCTCTTCCTTAGGAAAGCGGATGTGGGGACATGGTTGGGGAAGGATGTGGCACCGCTGAGCAAATCCAGAGCAGGGGAGTAAGGGTGTGATGACAAGGGCCAGGAGGGTGTCAGGGCTGCAGCTTGACAGAGGGCACCTGTGTGGGCTGTGGCGGGGGAGCAGATGGATGTGGTCACAGCCACAGCACCCTGCCAGGGATGGGGAGATGGCAGGGCCACCATCACCGTGACAGCCCCCTCAGCCCTCTGCAAACAAACCACGGGGCTGTGTGCAGTGCAAACACAGTGGCAGGACCACAAACAGGACCACAAACACCCGCAGCACGGGTATGGGCAGGCTGTGCTGGAGCCTGCTGGTGTTGGCAGGATCTGGCCCAGGAGCAGCTGGAGCAGGGCCAGGATGTAACACAGCAGTGTTACAATTTGGGAGAGTGCAGAGGGTGGGCATGTGAGTCCTTGGGCTCCTGGTACCTGCCTTACAGGAGCTGAGGCCAAGGATCAGGCCCTGGGTGCCCACCAGGCTGTTTGTTCTGTTATACCAGTGGGTGCCATGGTGTGTGGAGTGGTGCCCTTGGCCAGGGTGGGGGACACAGGGAGACCCCTGGCAGCAGGACATGTGGTTGAGGCACCCAAACCTTCCCAGGTGTTAGCCCCCCACCTCCTGTGGGTGCTGCCCCAGCATGGCCCCCTGGCATAAGATTGGGCATGACTGGTGGCAGGTGCAGGCAGGGAGGCTGTGAGGGGCTGCAGGAGGTGGGCAGGGGTCATGGGAGGCTCTGGGAGGCAGAGGCAGGGGGCAGGGAGCAGAGGCAGGCAGCAGAAGGCAGGCAGGATTGGCAGCCTGCACACACCCCCCACCCTTGCCCGCTGCCAACCCTCTGTGCCAACAGCCTCCCTGGCTGCTGACGTGAGCCGGTGCCTCCCTCTCCGGAGGTGCCAGGTCAGCTGGCAAATGCTGCTGGCACACGCCACCCGTGCACGCCTGGCCTGGCCCTGGGGATGTGACAGGGGACTGGCAAGGACAAAAATCCCATCTCCATTCAGGGACCGGGCTCCAGGGTGCAGGGCTGCCCAGGGACACAGCCCCTCACCCAGGCCACCCCCTCGCTCTGCTGCCAGAGGCTTTGGGCTGCTGATGGCCAGAGGAGGCGGAAGGAAAAACATCCCGCAAACAATTGCAAAAGTCAAGTCTGAGCAAGAAGAGGAGGGCGTGAGCGGGGGGGTGCCAGATCCGGCGGTATTCCTTGGAGACACCAACAACAATGGCAGGAATATTTTGCTCATGCCTTGCTGAGCCCAAACCAGCCATGGGCTGGGGGCTTGGGACCTCGAGGAACCAGCCAGGGGCCATGGCCGGCCTCAACAGGAGCCAGGGTAGGACCCTGCATTTGCCCAGCGCTGGTGTCAGTGGTGTTTTTTGGGCTGTCACCTGGGCTGAGGGTTGGGCCAAACACAACACATGGTTGCAAGCCCAGTGAAGGGGACAGGGAAGTGCTGGCAGTGCCCATGCACAGAGGGTTGGGATGAGGATAAGGACAGTGGCTGGCTGAGGGGGGATTGTGAGATGAGGCTGCGATGCTATCAGTCAGAGGAGCTCTTTAAGGGCACAAAGGTGGCCTTGGGGACAGAAAGGGTCTCCGCTACCACCTCTGGCTGCCACCACCTCCCATGTGCAGGATGGCGCACGGGTGGCAGTCTGTTTCCTATCGGGGCCAGGAGGAGGTGCAGCCCTGCACCCTGAGGTCCTGCCTCTCACCTGATGCTCCTCCTGTGAGGTGCACTCGCTCCCCTGGCACCCCCGGCCCACCCCAGGCACCCGTCCCGTCAGCCGGCGCTTGGGACCAGGGGGCGCACCGGGACCCCCCTCCTCTGCCCCTGCCTGAGGCCACGCTTTCCAGTCACAGGAAAAGGCTGGAAAGGCTGTGTCCCTCGGCCATCGCCTGCCCTCTGCGCCCTGCAGGGACCCTGCGACTCCCAGGCTCCCACCGCCCACCAGCAGCGGGGCGGCGGTGGCTGGTCAGGTCCTGTCCTCTCCGGGAGCGAGAACACCCCACCGAGCCCTGGCCCCGTTCCCGTCCCCGGCCGGCGGAACCCCCCTTGGGGGCGGTGGGGAAGCCCTTCCCGGGGGCGGAGCGGCCGGGCAGCCCCTCCCCGCCCCGCCCCGCCGCCCGCCGCCTTCTACCCGGCGCGGGGCCGCGCTGCTGGAGAGCGGGCACCGGAGCGGGGCCGAGCGGAGCGGGACAGGGGCTGGACGCGTGTGCCCGCGGGTCATGGACGGGCGGGCGGTGCTGATCCACGCGCTGCTGGCGGCAGGTACGGACGCGCGTGGGGACGGCAACGGATCCCAGCGCCGGGCTCTCCTGGAGGGTCCCGGACACGTGTCGGGGAATGAGGGCTGAGCAACGCGGTCCCCCGGTGGAGGGTCCCCGGGTGTGAGCAGACGGGAAGATCGGTCCCGGTCGCGCGTGGGGAGGAGGGGGTGTCCCGGGCAGGGCGGTGTGAGTGAGCTGTCCCATCTGACCGCTGTCCCTCAGTGTGCTCGGCGGCGGCGGGCGGGCTGCGCCGGGACGAGCTGCACAACGAGGTGCTGCACAAGGGCGGCGGCGGAGGGGGAGCGCCGGTCCCGGCCACGGCCCCGCTGCTCGGCGGCAGCCCGGAGAAGGAGGGCGGCGGAGCGGCCTCGGGGGACGACTTCAGCGAGCTGCCGAGAGGTAGGGACCGGGGGTCCCGGGGCGGGATGGGGTCTCGGGACGGGTGTGCCGCGATGGGGATGGGGTCCTGGCGCGGGCTGAGCAGGGGGGCTCGGAGGCGCCAGGCTGTGCTCGGCTCAGCTCAGCCCCGCGGGTGCCCCAGCGGCAGCCCCGGCTCCGCTTCGGAGGGCGCTGCGAGGAGGGAGTTCCCGGGTACCGAGCGCCCGCGGGAGCAGCCCCGAGTCGGGCCAGCGCATGGGGCACCAGCACAGAGCAGCGGCGCTTGTGCCAGAGGCTGTCGGGGTCCCAGGGGTGCCGGGTCCCAGCTCGGTGGTCGGTGGAGGCAGAGCCCCTCGGGGGGGCCGTGCCCGGGGACCCGCGCTGCCCTCCCGCCGTGACTCACCGCCGCCCACGCGCGGCTGCTCCTCATTCCGCGGCAGGGCTCGTCAGCCGGCACGGGGGCGGTGGGGGCACTGCCACTCTGAGGGGCTCCCGGGCTGGCACCGGAGAGTGTCCCGGGGGCTCTCATGGGGGTGGGACGGGGCCCATCGTGGGCTGAGGGCGTTGACGTGTACCTGTGCCTCCTACACGCGGCTCGCCGAGGGCAGTACCTGGCACCAGGAGCGTGCTCTGCCCCGTACAGCTCACCCTCATATTTTCCCGTGTTTTACTTTGCTTTTTGGCTGTGCCAGCAGACTGTGACAAACTGGGCTGAGCCGCTCACACCGAGGGGAAAAGCAGGTGTCCTCCCGCTGGGAGATGCTGCAGCCTGCTCCTCTGTGCATCCCCCGAGGAGGGGACTCTGTCCTAGGGCAAGCGATCTGGCGGGCCTGGGCTGACCCCCGGCTGAGGGGCAGGCTGGGAGGAACGGAAGGGTTTGGTGCCTGTCAGAGCACTGCCTCGATGCCTCGAGCTGAGCTACGGTCAGAGAGATCTGCCCTCTGTGTGAAGGCACCTTCGCCGGGGTGCCTGAGCAGGGGGAGAGAGGCAGCACCCCCTGCCTACCCTGGCCGGATGGCTTTTCCTACCGGCAGGACCTTCCCAACCTTCTCTGGCTGTCCAAGGGACAGAGCCCCGGGGAGGGGGAGTGGCAGTGGGGTGGCTGGGGGGGGTCAGCAGCACTGTGTGTCTGCTGGCTGTGTCCGGGAGATAACCCGCAGGGCCAGGGACAGAACAGCCTCATCCGAGGGTTCTTCCAAGCCGCAGAGTTTCCTGGAGTATCGGTTTTCTCCAGGCACAGTGTGAAGGATGTCGAAATAACTTCGCTAGGTGTGCAACCGGTGTGTGCCAGCATGGGAGGCCCTGGTTCAGTCAGGAGCCAGGAAGTGGCTGAGAAGGAATTGTGCAGGTTACAACTTGTCAGGTTGGACTCTGCTGCCCTCTCCTTCCCGAGCAGCCCCGGGGCTTAGTGCACCTTTCCCGGAGATACCAAGCGGTGGTTTGGGAGGAGCTAAAAAATCCCCCTTGGACCAGCGAGTGCTCTCTAGCATCTCAGCACCTTGTGAGATCAGGCTGGGAGCTGATTTTTTTTGGGCACCTGTATATCTTAAAAACCATTCCAGTACCGTTGCTAGTGTTAGGCTGTGTCTGAGCAAGGAGCTTGGTGCTCTAGTTCCCACCAACCCAGCAGGGAGCTGGCCTGGCACCAAATACCACTGGTCACTGCACCACAATTAAAACATACCGTTGTAATTCATGGGAACGCTTCCCTACCCACCTCTTTGGCTCTGCAAACCCAAAACTTAAGCCAGGCTTGCTCTTTTATTCCTGCCTTGGGGTGAGCAAGGCATCCTTGTGCCCACGGGAAGGAGACTCCATTACAGCCATGAATAGGGTCTTAGAAAAGCCTGCGCTCATCAGGGAAATAAAGGCCAGATAAAGGGGCAATTAGCAACGTTCTGTGTTCAGTGGAAACTGGTGCATATAATAGCAGCATTTGAGATGTATAAAGCTCTGTTCCCCCTGCCCAACTCCTTTCTTTCCTTGAGAATTGTTCTTATGAATCAGAAAGGCCATGATATTTGTGAGGAGCTGAAAAAAATGCCTTTTCCCCCTTCTCTGCCGGGCTCGGGGGCAGCTCCCGGCACAAAGGGCAGTGGGAGTCAGGGCTGAGCAATTGCAGCAGTCCCGGGATGTGGCTCTGCCTTCCCTCCGGCTGGCACGTGGAGCTGGTCTGACTGCCCTTCTCTCCTTCCCAAATTGTTTTCCAGTTGCCTTCCTGTCAAAGCCTCAAGGTCTGGTTACTCCCAAGAAGAAAGGGAACGGCAATAAAAGAAGAAAAGGCAAAGGCCTGGGGAAGAAGAGAGACCCGTGCCTGCGGAAGTACAAGGATTTCTGTATTCACGGCGAGTGCAAGTACATCCGAGAGCTGGGAGCTCCCTCCTGCATGTGAGTTGCTGGCGTGTGCCTGTGCCGGGGGAGCCTTAGTCACGGTTCCTTCAATTCTCTGGGCTGGGCAGAGGAAAAACGAACAGGATATTTTTAGTGCATGTTCTCTGTCTCTGTGCGGGGACAGCTATGACTTGGCCTCTTCCTTGTGCTTCTTGGGCAATGTCCATGCCCCACCAAAGCCTGTCGTGGCCCTGGATCCAGCATTCCCTGCCGGCACGGCGAGCTCCGGCTGAGCTGCTGTGCAGAGACCTGTGGTGCTGAGGGCTGCAGAATGGTGTGCAGGGCTGGAGTCTGGCAGCTGAGGGCTTCTGCAGGTCTGGTTTGGGAGACCTCATCCTGGCCCTGTCACCCTGCACCCCCCACTCGGAAAGCTTAGGGCTCCTGTGGCTGTTGGGGTGCACCAGTGCAGGCGGGATGAGCTGCTGTAGCACCAGTGAGGAGGACTGGAGGTAGCACCTTTGGGGACAGCCTGTCAAAGCCATGCCCAAGCTGTCCCTTGGCCTGATGAAGGACAGGGCTGTGTACCCCCACTTGCCCATGTCCCTGGACTACAGGTAGAGAGAAGGGACTGGATGAGGCAAGCAGAGGAGAAAGCATTTTCCTGCTGCTGGGACACCTTGATACAGGACTTGCTACCACGGGAAATACCCAGGGGTGCACATTTGATCCCCGCTTACGTGGGCAGGAGTTGAGCTGGCAGATATGTAAGAGGCTTTGTTCTTCACTATCAATCCTCTGAGCCACCCAGCCCTGAGCCCAGGGAAGATAATAGCTCCCTGGCTTATGGTGCCCACAGGATCTCATGCCCTGCAATCCGCAGGGATCAAGCTCTGCATAGCTCTTCTAGTCCCCTAGTTTCTCTCTGTGGAAGCTGCCATGAAGTTGAGTCCTTGCATGGGGGGCTTGGGACTGCCAGTGAAGGGAGATCTCTGCCGACTCAGTTTGTGTTGGTGACCCAGCAGAATGTGGGGTGCAGAACCCCTGCCTGGGACTGGGACAGCCAAGATCCCTGGGACTGGAGAGGACCTGGGGCACAGGCAAGCAGGAGGGATTTGGGGGTTGGCTGGGCTCTGCAGCCTGGTGGCCCATCCCTGGGTGACATCTTCCAGAGCCATCATGGTTTTTAGGAACAGTGGCCAACTGTTCCTAAAGAGGCCTCATGTTGACTGGTGTCACTAAGTTGTGGCTGCTCTTGGTGGCTGGCTGCCTGTGTCACAGGGTCTCTTGGAGTGTTCCTTCCTTGGGCTGGTCCCTGGGGATTGGGGTGGAGTGAGGATGCTGCTGGGCTGGGTCCTGCACCTCTGACTTGTGTGCAGCCTTGCTGCTGTGCCTGGGAGGTAACACTGGTATGTGCCATTATGAGCTTGGGAGGAGGGCTGGGCTAAACCCGGCTTGGACATCAGCCCGAGGGTCAGTGGTGCTGGATATAGAGGGATATATATATCTGGTCACATCAGTGGGCTGTGGCTTGGGAAGGGCTGGAAGCCTCACAGCCCTGTGGGGAGCGTTATTTCTGTTCCATGAGTAACCTCCCGAGTCTGCAGGGACGGGGCACCTCTCGGCTGTCAGGGTGTGCAGGGACATCCTGCTCTGTGGGAAGCGCTGGACCAGCTACCACGCTGCTCCCTTCCTACTTCCAGAGGTGGTCTGGGCAGCCTGGCTCTGCCTGGGAGGGACTGGCAGGAGACAGACCCTGGTGCCTTCTGCTGGTGGAGAGTTTAACCTTTCTAGGAGTCTTCACTTGGCGCAGCAGAAACTTAACTTACCAATACCAGGGAGAGATACCGCCTTCCAAGGTTGTGGGGGGACACAATGACCTCCTGTGCTTGCTCACCACCAACCTCTATGACTTTCTTTCTCGCCCAGATGCCAGCCAGGGTATCACGGAGAGCGCTGCCACGGCCTCTTGCTGCCGGTGGAGCACCCGCCCAGCGCGTACGACCACACCACGGCTCTGGCCGTGGTTGCTGTTGTCCTGTCCTCCCTGTGTCTCGTCATCATCGCAGCCCTGCTGATGCTCAGGTGAGTGGGACGGGGCTGAACTCTCGGAATCTGTGTCCCTGGGAAGATCACGCGCAAGAGGAGGGTGGCAGGGACCTCTTGCCCTGAGCATCCCTTTGCTTGGCCTCGCAGGTGTCACAAGAGGGGTGGCTACGATGTAGAAAACGAAGAGAAAATCAAGCTGGGCATCACTGTGAATCACTGAGGATGCCGGGTGCTGGCGAGGTGAGCCCCTGGCTGGGCAGGGGGCAGCAATGGGGCTGGTGGACATCTGGGGGCTCTGCTGTTCGTGCTGGCTGGGACTGCTGTATGGATCCCGTGCCAGAGCCAGGCAGGAGTGTTGAAGGCAGCCTAAGCCTGGAGAAGAGCCTGCCTGGATTTGGGCAGAGAACTTGGGCTGCCCTGTGGGGCTCCAACCCTCTTATCTCGCCTTCCTGCCCAAGTCCCTGTTCTCTGACTACTTCATTCCTCCCACCTCCTCCTTTCTAGCCCCCAGTCCCTGCTCTGCCCCAGTGCTTTGGGGATGTTTGGCAGTGGGGAGGCTGCTTCTGTTTTGGTTTTTTTTTTTCCCACTTGTTCTGCTCCCTCTCTGACCCTCTGAGTCACTTCCCCTCCTTAGATATTGCTTCTATTTATACACATGTGTAAAAAACCCCTTTCCTTTTCACTCCCACTCTGCTTATTACTTGCAGCAGAGCAAGTAATGCTCTTGCAGCTGGGCACAGGGGGATCTTGCTGCCAGCCCATGCCATGTTCCTCTGGCTGGCTGGGTGGTGGGTGAGGGGTGTGCTCTACCCCAGGGCTGGCTGCAGGGTTGGGTGCTGAAAAGCTGTCAAACTTCCTCTGGTCTGATCCAAACCCTGACGTTAGACGTGGCCATACATATCACAGCTCCTTCTCTTCTTAAAAAAAAAAAGAAAAGTCATTGTTCTTTGTAAAGATGAAGTAATGCCTTCGGAGAATTTCTGTCATGTTTGTCACAGTGCTGGGAGTGGGATTTTGAGCTGTTCATTGGTGCTGAATTTTTGAGAAGGAGACTCAGAACAGGGGTTTTCTCACTGTCCCATTTGCCCTGGGGGTTACTGGGGTGGATGTGTCCAGGGGGAAAAGTGCCGTGGTTCCTGGAAGGGAAGCACGGTGGACACAGGGTGGGATGTTTACCCACCTCTCCTGGGTGTGCTGGCTCCCATCCTCCTGGGTGCAGCCCCGACAGGCAGCGAGTGGCAGCTGGGGCTTGGGTGGGTGCGAGTGCTCTCCTGCCGGGCTGGGTGGGACCCAGCACCTTTACCCCGCCGTGCTCTGTGGGCAGAGCAGCCCAGGACCGTGTTGTGAGCTCTCCCGCCTCTCTCTTGCAGGGGTCGGCACTAATAACGCACTTCTACCTCCTGGAAGAGGCGAGACCAGCGGGGCTGCGGCACGTCGGGGGCTCGCTGGAGCACCAGGACGGCACCCGCGGCGGGGCCGCTCGGGCAGCGGCGGCACTGCAGGAGCTTCGCGGCCACCTCCGGGGACGGGGCGGGCTCGGGGGAGGGAGGGACCGGCTGCCCGGCGGCTCTCCGTCCACTGCAGTGCCGAGGAACAAACTGTGAAAGGGAGGAGACACCGGGCTCGGGGCTTCCTTCGCCGCAGGAGGGAGGGAGGGGGGGGGGAGGGTAACAGCTATTTAACAAGATATTTTTCATTTTAAATTATATATTTATTTTAGATAAACTGTACATAGTATTTATATTTATTGTAGGTCTGGCCCTGCGTCCTTCGTGTAGGTTCAAGATGACAGGGGTCAGACCTCCCTTATTTTTTAAGTGCAATGTAATATTCTAATAAATAACACTTTGTAACAAATGCTTGGGTTGTTAATTTAATGATGGAGGTGGAAAGGATTCAGGATTCTGAAGGCCTTGCTGATGAGGTGCTGCCAACAGCAGCAGAGGTGTGCGGTGTGGGCTGATGGATCAGGTTGTGCCATCCCTGGGGAGCAGTGTGGTCTGAGGAGCTGGGGGCAGGATCCATCCTCTGCAGCCAGGACAGCCCCATGTGGATTTTTTTTTTGAGATTTGCTTCATCTTTACCAGCTGATGCCCCGGGGGGGGGGGCGTGATGTTTGTGTGTCTGCTCACCAAGCAAAGCTGCCTCCAGTGTGAGTGAAGCTGCTCTGGCTGCTGATCCATTCAAATGGGATTGGTTCCTGGTTTTAAGCCAGCACAAGTTGCCCAGAGAAGCTGTGGCTGCCCCATCCCTGGAAGTGTTCAAGGCCAAGCTGGATGGGACTCAGAGCAACCTGGTCTAGTGAAAGGTGAACTGGATGATCTTAAAAGTCCCTTCCAACCAAATAATTCTATCATTTGGCAAAGAAGAAGCCAGAAGTGGACTCACATCTTCCTTGTAGGGGACCCCAGCTGTCCTTGGGGCCACTGCAGATTCCTGGGGCTGCAGTCATTCCATCCACAAAGCATCACTTCAGATGACGGCTCAGGAGCGACTCATGACTTTGCAGCAAGAGTAACCTCAAACCACTTCTTTCCTCTTCCTTGGGGGAAGCTGAGATTGGAGAGAGGTGCTGGCTCTGGCAGAGAGCTTTGAGGCAGCCCCCGCAGGTGTGGAACTCCAGTCAGCAAAGGGGAGAGCTGAGCTGCTGGGAAGGGGGAACGCAGCAGTACTTGAGCTTTCCAGTGCTTGTTGTGATGAAGCTGAAGGACACAGCTGTGACCAAGGGGGAGTGACCACGGTGTTATGGTCTGGAGAGTTAAAGCCTCAGCAGCTGCAGTGACCCAGTCCCAGAGCCAGGGAAATGAGTTACTGACTGTGCAAATGTGACTCTGTGCTGTGGTGATGCCAGTTTGACCAGAGACTCCAAACTTGTCCTTTTCAAAGTCTCTTAAGCAAATAATGCCCCTGACTGCTGTGCAGGAGGCCCTTCTGCAACCAGGGTTGTGTCCCTGCCTCACTGTGCTGCTGCTGCTTCTCACCTTCCCAGAGCTGCTGTAGCCCTGCAGCTTTTCTGCCTTTCCCAGTGGGCAGCTCCACTTGCCTGGGGCTCTACAGCATCCTGGTGGGAATAGCTCTGCTGGAAGGTGTCTCAGCAGATAGTTGGAACTTATGCCCAGAGCCCAGCTGCTCTCTGCCCTCCTTCTGCCCCTGTGCAGGCTGGGCTGCCCACAGGTGGAGATTTAACAGGCAAACAGGTGGCAAACATGCTTTGGAGATGTAGGGAAGCTGTCTGGATCAGTGGGCTGGCTCCCTGTGCCCCGCTGGGCTGGGAAAGGCTGGCAGTCCTAGAGATGCTCCCTTTCATTCCACTTGCTGTCCAGCATCTTTGTTGGAGACACAGACAGTGGGATCAAGGGCACCCTCAGCAAGTTTGCTGATGAAATTGAGCTGTGTGGTGCAGCCACATGCTGGAGGGAAGGGATGGATCCAGAGGGATTTGGACAGGCTGCAGAGGTGTGAACCTCGTGAAGTTCAACAAAACGTAAATGTAATGTCCTACACCTGGGTTGTGGCAATCCCAGGCACACCAACAGGCTGGGAGGAGAAGGGATGGAGAGCAGCCCTGTGGAGAAGGACTTGGGGGTGACGGTTGATGAAAAAATCAACATGAACCAGCAGTGAGCACTCACAGCCCAGAAAGCCAACGGGATCCTGGGCTGCATCCCGAGGAGTGTGGCCAGCAGGTCAAAGGAGGAGATCCTCCCTCTGTACTATGCACAGTTCTGGTGTGCCCAGCATAAGAAGGACATGGAACTGTCGGAGCAAGTCCAGAGGAGGCCACTCTGGGCATTGATAAGGGAGATTGGGGCACCTCCCCTATGAAGACAGGCTGAGAAAACTGGGTCTGTTCGGCCTGGAGAAGGGAAGGCTGAGTGGAGACCTCACAGCACCTTCCAGGATCTGAAGGGGTCTACAGGGAGGTCAGTGAAGGGACTCTTCGTCAGCAACTGTAGTGACAGGACAAGAAGTAATGGGTACAAACTGAAAAAGGGGAGATTTAGGTTAGATACACAGAATAAATTGTTTATTGTGAGGGTGGGGAGGCCCTGGCACAGGTTGCCCAGAGAAGCTGTGGCTGCCCCTGGATCCCTGGAAGTGTCCAAGGCCAGGTTGGACGGGGCTCGGAGCAACCTGGTCCAGTGGAAGGTATCCATGTCCACGATGGGGGGATGGGGCTAGATGGCCTTTAAGGACCATTCCAACTCCTTCCCATTCCGTGATTCCAAGGCAGGGGACGGTTCTGCCTCCCCGGGGAAGCCCCGGCCGGTCCCTCAGGAGCCGCCGGGACCGCCCCCTCGGCCCGCGCATGCGCCGTGCGGGGACAAGATGGCGGCGCCCGTGGATCTGGAGCTGAAGAAGGTACGAGACCCCCGCCCGTGTGTGTGTTCCTCTTGTGCCCCCACCATGTGTCCCCCTGCCTGTGTGTGCTTCCGCCCGTGTCCCCCCGTCAGCGTGTGCGTCCCCCGTGTCCCCCCGTCCGTGTATCCCCGCCCGCGTGTGCTCCGTGTGTGTGCGTCCCCCGTGTCCCCCCGTCCGTGTATCCCCGCCCGCGTGTGCTCCGTGTGTGTGCGTCCCTCGTGTCCCCCGCCGCCTGTGTTCCCTCCTCTCCCGGTTCCTCCCACCCCCTGTGTGTCCCCTCACCCCGTGTGTGTCCCCACCTGGTGTCCACTCCCCGCGTGTCACCCCCACTCGTGTGTGTGTCCCCCGTGTTCCCCATGTCCCCCCCCGACCCATGTGTCGTCCCCCATCCGTGTTTCCCCCCCCGCCCGTGTCCGCCTGCCCGTGTGTCCCTCTGTGTCCCCCTGGCCATGCGTGTGTCCCACCCGTGTGTATGTGTCCCACCATGTCCCCTACCCATATATTCCCACCCGTGTCCTCCTCCTTGTGTGTGTCCCCACCCGTGTCCCTTCACCGTGTGGTCCTCCACCCGTATGTGTGTCTCGTGTGTCCCCTCACCCACGTGTGTCTCGTGCGTCTCCCCACCCACGTGTGTATCATGTGTCCCCTCACTCGTATGTGTCTCACTGTGTCCCCCCCATATGTCTCCCATGTCATCCCCCTTGTGTGTTCCCTCACCCGTTTGTGTCCCACCCCTGTGTGTTCCACTGTGTCCCCCCACCCACGTGTGTATCATGTGTCCCCTCACTCGTATGTGTCTCACTGTGTCCCCCCACCCATGTGTGTTTTCTGTGTTCCCCCACCCATGTGTGTCTCCCACGTCATCCCCCTTGTGTGTTCCCTCACCCCTGTGTGTCTTCTGTGTCCCCCCACCCACATGTGTGTCAGGTGTCCTCCCCCTTGTGTGTCCCCTCATCCATGTGTGTGTCCCACTGTGTCTCCCCACCTATGTGTGTCTCCCGTGTCCTCAGTCCCCCTACCCCTGTATCCTCCCCAACATGTCCCCTTGGCTGATCCCCTCCTTCCCCACATCCCTGGTCTGGTTGTGCCCCCGCTGCCTGCCTGGACACCCCTCACTCCGCCTCCCTCCCCTGGCCAGGCCTTCACGGAGCTGCAGGCCAAGGTGATGGACACGCAGCAGAAGATGAAACTGGCCGACCTGCAGATCGAGCAGCTCAGCAAGACCAAGAAGCACGCCCACCTCACCGACACCGAGGTGATGATGCTGGTGGACGAGACCCGCATGTACGAGGGCGTGGGAAGGATGTGAGTACCCGCTGGAGAGGGGGTGACCCCGGCTCTGTGTGTGGGAGGGGATCCCAAATTCAGGAAGGACATTGGAGCAAGTCTAGAGAAGGGCAATGGGGCTGGGGAAGGGGCTGGAGCACCAGGAGGGGCTGAGGGAGCTGGAGGGGCTCAGCCTGGAGAAAAGGAGGCTCAAGGGGGACCTCCTCGCTCTCTACAAGAGAGTGGAGCCAGGTGGGGGTCGGGCTCTGCTCCCAGGGAACAAGGGACAGGACAAGAGGACATAGTCTTATGCTGTACCAGGGGAGGTTTAGGTGATCACAGAAAGGGTGATTAGGCATTGGAATGGGCTGCCCAGGGCAGTGGGGGAGTCACCATCCCTGGAGGTGTTTGACGATGCGTTTGTGAGAAGGCTCTCACAGATCTGTCCAGAGTCAGTAATTTCCTATGTGCACCTCCTGTGCACGGTTCATGTCCTACAGAAATGCCCTTTGCAGCATCGTGCCGAGGAATGGATCTAATGTCGTTGCTTGGATGTTTTCAAACTTTTGGAAGTGAGCATAAGGCTTGTGTGGCTGCTCCCAGTGCACTAAAGATGTGCCTCATGTGTTGAGTGGCTGTCAAAAGAAACACCTTAAACGAGACTTGAGGTGTGTTGATTAATTTTCCCAACACGCTTTGGTGGGACTTCAGCAGCCTCTGATACAAGACCGTACAAAGTGGTTTCAAATCTGAACCACGTGCTTGCTTGGCAAGTATCACACTAGATTTCTGTGTTTTTGATTTGAGAAACAGGATTTTTCCACTGCTGTGATTTTTCTCTCTTGTCTCTCGTGCGTTGGGTAACAGTGATGACTGCTCATCTCGGGACGTGGTTTGTGAAACGGTGGATCTGCTCTGACTGCTGCCAAAAGGGGTGATTGTATTGACCACTTCCCCACCCTGTTTACCCCACCTTCTCCATGCCAAAGGGGATGATCACAGGGCCAAGCAGTGAGCCAGGTCAGGCTGCAAGTGCCCTGATCCATCAGCCCATGCAATCTCCTGACCGAGTTGTAGGGAGGTGGCAGGACTGGGAAGCCAGGAATGGTGTGTACTTTGCCTGTTGCTGAGGCTTTTCAGGTGAAGTTGTACCCAGGCTAATGGAGCTGTTCAGAGTGACAGTCCCCTTCTTGGTTCCCACTAAATAAACTTTTCCAAGTAGGTGCATT